GGGGTCCCCCTCCACCCCTCTTCCTGGGGCCAGTGACTGTCCCCCTTCCCTAGGACCCCCTGGCCATTACCCTCCCCCCACGCATCTCCCAGGGCCCCCCGGCCTGTCTCTTCCCTCACTCCCACTCCCCCCTAGCACGGCTTCGGGACGCTGGACGGCGAGCACTGGCTGGGCCTGGAGAGCACCCGCCGGGTGACAGGGCAGGGCCCGGGGCCCTACGTGCTGCGGGTGCTGCTGGAGGACTGGGCGGGGCACCAGGCATACGCCCACTACGACCACTTCGCCCTGGAGCCCGAGAGCGACTCCTACCGGCTGCGGCTGGGCCGGTACCGCGGCAGCGCCGGGGACTCGCTGGCCTGGCATGACGGCCGCCCCTTCAGCACGCTGGACCGGGACCATGACGCGTACAGCGGTGAGGGGTCTGCGGGGGGCACAGCACCCAGCGTCCTGGGGGGGCACAGCACCCAGTGAGGGCACCAGGGACCACAACACCTACCTGGGGGCAGGTTCTGCCCCTTTCCCTCTTACCCACAACCGCTCCAAAGGGGGCTGAATGGGGGGGCTGCATGTCCTGGGGGGTGGGGCTGGCTGAGTCCCAGGCCTAGGGGGCCATGGGGTTGGCGGTGCACCCCTCCCCCGTGGGAACGTCCCGGCCCCTGACAACGTCTCCCCTCCCACAGGGAGCTGCGCCCACTACCACAAGGGCGGCTGGTGGTACAACGCCTGCGCCCACTGCAACCTCAACGGGGTGTGGTACAAGGGCGGGCACTACCGCAGCCGCTACCAGGACGGCGTCTACTGGGCCGAGTTCCGCGGCGGCGCCTACTCCCTGCGCAAGGTGGTGATGATGGTCCGGCCCGCGCTGCCCGCCCCCGATGCCGCCTGATACCTGAACCCCCGGAGCCACCTGTCCCCAACATCGCCTGACGCCTGAACCCCCGGAGCCTCCCGCCCCTGCCGCTGCCTGATGCCTGAACCTCCGACGCCGCCCGCCCCCAACACCTGAACCTCCGACGGCGCCTGAGCCCCGGAGCCACCCGCCCCCGATGCCGCCTGACCTCCCGCAGCTGCCCCCCCCCGATGCCTGAGCCCCCAGAACTGCCTGACGCCCGAGCCCCCGGAACCACCCCTCCATGATGCACGAGCCCCTAGGCCACCAGCCCACACCTGCGCCACGGGAGCCATCGTGATGCCCGAGCCCCCGGAGCTGGCGGAGGGAGGGATCTGGCCCAGGTTCCTCCCAGACACCGTGGAGGGCAGGGAATCGACAGGGGGCAGCAGAGCAGCCACTGGGCAGGGCTCCCTGTGCCACCCGGTCCCCGCGCCCGGCCCCGCCAGCCCCACAGCGCCCGGGTCGCCGGCTCTGCCAGGTCCCCGCGCCCGGCCCCGCCAGCCCCACAGCGCCCGGGATGCCAGCTCGGCCAGGTCCCCGCATCCGGCCCCAGCCCCCCAGCGCCCAGGACGCCAGCTGTGCCAAACATTCTTTATTCAGTTTATAAAAAGGCAGCTAAGAAACTGTAACCACGGTGACGGGCGTCTCCCAGAAACCCCCACGCGGGGCGGCAGGGGAGGACGGGCACTTAGGGTTAAAGCTGACTCGTGCCCGGAGCAGACAGACACAGGACAGACAGGCTGGCACAGCCAAGCCTGCTGCGGAAAGGGACGAGGGCAGCGTCTTTGGCAGGGCCACGGGGAGACTTGTCCCCTGCGCCCGCCCTGCTTGGTCCCAGGGGCAGCCGGCCTACCCCCGTCCAGCCGCTCGGCTTTGGTCAATGCTGCAAGCCCAGGGCCAGGGCCAGCAGCAGCTCGTTGAAAATACAGAGCTACAAGGGAGCCGGCAATCAGCCGAAATCCAGGCCCTGACTCCCGGGATCGGGGAGGGGACCCCGGGGCACTCCAGACCCTGGTTCTGTAAGAGTTACACAAAGAGGAAAAGATCCGGTGCCAGGCCCTGCGCCCGCGGGCCCCGGCAGCACCAGGCCGGCGTGCAGCTTCCCCCAGGGCTGGGCAGAGACAGGCCCCCGCCCCGCCCCAGAGAGGGCCCCCACCTGCTCCGAGGAGCGGGGTTGGCCTGGCCGGGCGAGAAAAGCCGAGAGAAGGATAAAGTGCAAACAGAGCCCTGGGGCGGAGGGGCCCAGGGCCAGCAGGGCGCTAGTCCTCGGAGCCCTCGCTCTCTTCCGCCAGGTCTTCCAGGAGGAGCTCGTCCAGGTCGCACTGCGCCAGGCTGCCCTGGCTCAGGCAGGTGGCCACGGTGGAGCCGGTGCTCTGGTGCTCCAGGCTGGCAAACAGCACCTTGGGGAGTCTGTTCTTGGCGCGGCTGCGGGGGTGGACGCAGTGGGTGCCGGGCACATGGGGCTCTGCCGGGGGAAGGGAGGAGTGTCACACGGGGCAGCAGCTGGGGCTTGTGAGGCGCTGCTCCCAAGTTACCAAGGGGAAACTGAGGCAGAGACTCGCGTTGGTGGCAAAGCCAGGGATAGAACCCAGGTGTCCGAGCTCCCAGCTCCCCCCTGCTCTGACCTGCTAGACCCCACTGCCCTCCCCAAGCCGGGGATAGAACCAAGGAGTCCTGGCTCCCAGCCCCCCACACAGCCCCTCACCTCGGCGGTTGTAGCAGTCCTCAGCGTAGCAAGAGTGGGGGTTGCGGCTCCGGGCCCCGGCAACCTGGTGCGGTGAGAGGATGCGATCGGGCAGCACGCGGGTGCTGCAGATGAAGCAGGGAGAGGCCATACCCATCTGCGCTGAGCCCCTGGCAGGAAGAGAACGGGGGGGGGGAGGGCTGTGAGTCACGCTCTCCCCCAGAGCCGCTGGCTGGAGCCTGCCAGTGCTCCCCCTCCTGCCCCATGGCAGGGGCAGGCCATGGGGAGACCCCCCCCCTCACCTGAAGCTGCGGTTGCAGGAGGGGCAGTGGAACTCGGCTGTGCCCCACATCTTGTCGTAGGGCACCGGGTCGTAGCGCTTCCCACACAGCCGGCACCGGGACACCTGTGGGGGGCCCCAGAGAGTGAATGTCCTGGGCCACAGCTTGCCCCGCCCCCCACCGCCAGCCCCGGCAGACGCACCTGCTTTCTCTCGGGCACACGGCGCCACCAGGCGCTGTCGCAGGCCTGGCAGGCGAACTGGCGCTCGGCCGAGGGGATGAGGTTGCGTCTGGCGTGGTCGAACATGCGCAGGTTCCGCTCCGTCAGGGGCAGCACCTTCAGCTGCTGGGCTATGGCCTGGGGGGCAGAGGCCGGGGGGCAGCATGACGACCAGGGGCTCAGGTCACCTGCGTTCTCCTCCCTCCTCTGCTACTGAGGTGCTGGGCAAACACGTCCCTCCTCAGTGCCTCCTTTCCCTTCCACCCGCCTCTGTTCAGATGGCGACATGCCCAGGGGTGGGCTCGCTCTGGGTCTGGGCAGAGCCTGGCATGACGGGGCCCCAATCTCAGCCGGGGTCTGGGCAGCGCCCGGCCCGACAGGGCCCCGATCTCGGCCGGGGTCTGGGCAGCGCCCGGCCCGACGGGGCCCCGATCTCGGCTGGGGTCTCTATTCGCCACAGTAGTAGCAGCGAAAGGAAAGATCTACGAGGAGCAGGGAGGCAAAGTCTTGGTCCCTGTGGGTCCCATGGGCCCGGCCCCCCTCACCTCGATGTCCTTGTCGCTCTCACAGTCGAGGCTGGGTTTCTGCACAGGGGGAAGAGATAAGAAATAAAGTTAAAATGCAAATAACCAGATGTGTGTGAACAGCCACCCCAGCGCCAAGACAGGGGTGCCTCCCCCTCCCCCTCCCCCTGCAGGGCGTCTCCCCTCCAGCAAGGGACACGGACACATATAGACACGCACACGCATGCTCATGTTTAGACACAGACACGCACACACGTGTGCGCAGAGAGGGATCAGCACAGACACACACACACACCTGTTTCTGTTGCTCCTCTTCTTGTTTCAGTTTCTCCACCACTTTCTAGACGGGAAGTGAGAGGAGCCTGGCATGAGGGGACGGCTCAGGGAGACCCCGGGCTTGACCCACCCCAGCCCCAGCCCAGCGCCCCAGGCCGCACAGACGCCCCCCACTCTCCCCCCGGCCAGCAGCGGGCCCGGTCCAGCCTGGCTGGCCGCCCAGTGAGGCAGGGCCCGAGCTGCGTCTGGTCCTGTCTGCGACTCAGCCCGGGGTCCCCCAAACGCCGACCACAGCCCCCGCTCTCCCCGCGTCCCCCCTCCTATGGGGGTGAGAACGGAGAGTGAGCTACCTTCACCACAGGGTCGTGCTCCAGAGTCCGGCGCTCCTCGGGGGTCCACGTCTAGGGCAGGACAGATCACGGTTAC